AAATATGATACTGAATATCCTATTAACAGCAGTTAAGAAAATCTAAAGTGAAAGAATTAAAAACAACATTAGTTGCCCAACAATCTATATTTACTAAGTCCATGACTAAATGAAGAGCTGCTACAATTCCTTCATTTAAGATTGCACATATACTTGCAATGCATGAAAAATCCTTTGACGACAGCAACATAATTAAAGAAGCAACGCTGCAAAGCTTTTTTTTCAGTTTACAGCAGTATTTATTACACAAAATTTAAGTAAAGCTTAACATGCCGATCTTGCCCCGATCTCCCCCCCTATATATATATGGGTGCCATATATATATATATGGCACCCATTTTCAGCTAGTAAATAAGCTATTTGTACTATGTCATAATTATTTGTATATTATATATATACATAATATACAAATAATTATGACATAGTACAAATAGCTTATTTACTAGCTGAGAATGGGTGCCATAAAATAAACGTATTTGTGATAAAGATAAATATTTTGTTGAAATTTATGAATCAATTATTACATGATCAAAATCGTATTTATCAATATTTATGCAACTATCGATAAAATTCTATATAATTTTAATGGTTTTTTTTATCTAGTAACCGTACATTGAAACTAAAGAAATTAGTTTCCAATAATACTATTAAATAACTATAGACTAGTAAAAATAGTTGCAGCGCTTGATAACATTTACGAATTGATAAATTAAAAATAATAAAAATTACTTTTGTTTTTTATAAGAAAGATAAAATATTTTATTATATTTTTATGGAAATCATATATTTAATATTAAATATGCGTTAAATTATTGAAGCTATTTCTAATAAATAATGACTAAGAAAACTCGTTTGTTTTCTGCACCCTAATTCTTATTTGGATGATAAAATATACTTGTTAAATGAAAAAAAAAATTAATAGGAAACTTACAAAAATTGCGTTATTTTTCTGCAAAAAACTTATTAATTATTATTAAAATAATGTAAATAATGAACTTAGTATCAAGATTAATGATATTATTTTGGTTATTTATCATATCTATCATCTTACTTTAAATATTGTGAAATGGAAATTAATTTTTGAGATAAAATTTGTTTTCATTTTACAATAGTTATTATAGAACGAGCAATTATTTGTTATGACATCGTTACAATGCCAAGCTGCAATTTTTATTCATATATTTAATTTATTTATTTTAAAATGTATGGTCTCCATCTCAAATTCGTAGTGTCTTGCCCCTGTACAGTACATCATGATAATAATAGAACCATGCCAGTTATCTATGTAAAATTCAGTAATCATCATTCAGGGAAAAATTTTTGAATTGAATTCATGTGACTTCCAGTGCAGACAGGAAGTTCATATATCGTGCCTCTTGACATTACAATTACCACGTCTACTCTCGAGTTTCATCTACATAACACCCTTCTCGAGATTAAGGAAGGATAGACAGATGATAGTGGGAATTTATACGTCTACATCAGGGGTCGCCAAACTTTTTTAACCAACCACTTTCCAAAGCCTCACATTGACCCCCACCGTAAAGTATTATTACAAGTGTATGTGTATAAGCAAAAAAAAAAAGGTTGTGACCCGTTAGCCACATCGACCCCTCAATCGACCCCCTAGCCGCATTGACCACCTAATCGACCCCTAGCCGCATCGACCCCCCCTAATGATGTTGCATCGACCACTTTGGCGACCCCTGGTCTACATGCAGCCCAATGATGGGACAGAATGTTGCTTTATTAAATCTGGAGAAGAAAATTAATGACTTTTAATCAGTGGCACGTTATCCTACGGACAAAAAGGCAATTGCCTGGTTTCTCATCGATAAGGAACACAAAACCAATCTTTATAAGAAAATATTTCCCAAAAAATTCCCCGAAGAAAAATGTCGGGAAGTCGAGACTGTACACGAAACTCCCTTGTTCAATTTCCCAGGTCTCCATGAAGCTATAACTCACCATTGATTTTAACAAGGGTATAATTGTACTTAAAGCATGATGTACTGTACAATGAAGATATATTTTAAACGTCGAAAATCATTTTAAAATTTCAATTAATATTGCTGGAATCCACGGGTTGGAATCCTTCCTCAGTTCACTTGGACGCGGAGTCGAACCCACGAGGTCCGCCCACCCGGTCAGTGGATAGGTTCTGATCGTAGTTTGACATCCTTTCAGAAAATGTCAGGTTTAATTTCTTCTGACACCAGTTAAGATAAAATTTCGCGTCTTAACTCGCGCTCCTAAAGTACTCCTTTCGAGTGGAAAGGGCTGCGGCCTTGTCGATAAGGATTCGGGCCACCCAGAAATAATTTCGCTAGAGACCAATTAAACAAACAAACAATTAATAGGATAAAGATATCAACAAGTACTATACTGTAAATACGAACGGATCTGTCTATATCCCAAATATTATATCGATTACCTAACTGCCTCTATAGCTAGTAAGCCGAAAGAAAGAGTTCACATCAATTTAAGCATAATACCTCTTGTAGTCCGCTGTCCTCAGTACGGAATTCGAATCGGCGTCTGCGGGTGCATTGGCTGTTTTCTCGAAGGATACTTGTAGACGATTCGGCGAGTCAGCCCCGAAATTCGGGTGCGAACCCTTTTTATCCCAATGACTTTTCCCAAGGGGTGCGAGAAGTCTTTCCTGTGACGGAATTCATAGATAAGATGCACTTTTCGATGTATTATTAGCGGGAACGTAAACACACTTCTGTCCAGTGTATATTTTCCCTTTGTTATCCGTTCTCACGAGCGTGTAAAGTGGTCTGTGTTGATTTTCACATATGACAACAGCTTAACTGCATTATTTGTCTTTTTACCTAGAGAAAACAGAGGGTCTTTTTACAGAGAGATCTCTGTTCTGTGTCCAGCTTCTCACAATATGCTGTTTTTATTACACTGAAGAGGGAAAGTTGAGATTTTCTTAAAGATTGGAAATGCTTATATATCACGATGAATAAACTAATTCTAAAAATAATAGTAATGTTTATTCATTTGATATNTAAAAATTTCGTTTAAAATTATGTTAACTATTAATTGTTTATGTTTTAAAGATATTTAATTTGTTACTAGATTCAATAAACTGTAATGTTTACTGGATACATTGATTTGCCAATTGTTGTTCCTTTTATACTGGACTACATCGTCCCAGCATGCATCTACAATCATACCCGTATTTAAATTAATTATATTTGCATAATTCTTAATACAGAAATGTTCGATAATTCTTCCTTTTAACAAATTTTTAGATTTATACAATATTTTAACATCGTTTCTATTAATTTTACAATTAAAACTATTACAATGTTGGTAATTCTTGTCTTTTCAAAAGGATTGCAGCCACGTGTTCTTTTAACCTTTTTTCTAACCTTCTTCCTGTTTCAGCTATGTAACATATAGGACTAGGGCATGTACAGTACAGTACAGTACAGTATATGATAATTTGTAGATAACTTCTACAGTCTCTAGTTGTTTTCCTAATGTACTTTGATCAAGAAAGAAAAAAGGTTGATGGATATAATTAATATTATAAATTATATCCACCAACCTTTTTTTTCTTGTTTTGCTACTAAACAAATAGAAAAATTATTATATTCCGGTTTATATTTTCCAAAAAGATGATTTATATACGGGAAATTAATATATACAGTATCGAACTTTTGATTCTTAACATGGTATCTATTATTTATATAATAATCATACCACTTACATACAATATTCTTCGGGTAGTTATTTAATAAATATTTTTTTAAAAATTGCTTCGCTTTTATTTCAATGTCGTCCTGGAGTGCTGTTCTGATGGAATTAAAGAAAATAATGAAAAGAAATGTATTTATCTTAATTTCTATAGTACAATACGAATTATAATTAATGGTTTTTTTAGTATTACATTGTTTTTGTACTTACGAAAATATAATTTCATTCCTTCACTTTTTATAGTTACATTTCCTGGTTTATTCCTCTTCACATGTAAATTTTAAATATTCATCTAGTTGCCTTGATAGATCACTCGAAGTCGGATATAAAAGTATATTACTCGTTAATATTCTGGAAATATTTTATTTTTAGATTTTATATATTATTAAGCTGTTGGGTATTATACGCGTAATATTTTTTCTATAATTTCTTCTATTCCATTTCACGATTTAATAATACATAAAGAGTATTATTACTGCTCCATTTCACTATTTTATGACCCATGAATGCTTACAAGGAAATGAACTCTGAGTATTTTGAAAAAAAAATGTGCCCTCTATATATAACAACTACAGTGTATATAATCCTGAATTATTTTGTTTACAGAGCGATCTATGTCAGTAATATAAAAAGTTTGAGAAGAGAAGATATAAAGAATGAACGTTATCATTATTAATTACATTCGGCTTTATCTTTTAATACGGGTAAAGCAAAATGTTTCAAAGACGCAATTCGTGTGAAATGTATGTAATGTGTATGTAGTTTAAATATTTTCATACCGGTTATTTATTTTTTAATATACTGCAATATATGAGAATATTTTCTAAATAAGATACTTAATTAAAACATTTTATAATTAAAATATGTATTATTTAAAGTATTGTACATATATAATATACTGCTTGAAGTATAAGTATGAAGTTACCTTAGAAAATATTTTATTGTGTTTATTATACAGTATTAATATATTGTAATTGAGCATCGAGAATTATATAATCTAAATTTTGTTAAAACGATTATTTCTTAGTCTTGTTTATTTTATTTATGTAATAGAAATTTTTACATCATTCATTTTACTTCTTGTAATTATTACAAAATTTTTACATATAGTTTAATAAATTGTAAAAAGTTTATCTTCAAATATTATATATTAATTTTCAGATTACATGAAAATGAATTTCGTTAAGCTTCCTTATCATAAAATGAATTACTTAGAAGAAGAATATGATTATCTTTCCATTATGCATTATACTGCATGGTCATTTGCCAAAGACAAATCTCACCCAACTCTAACTCCTACCCGTCCTGGATTCACTCATAAAAGTTTAGGAATTGGACAAGTAACTGGTGAACTTTCAGCAGTGGANTTAAAATATAATTGAATATTAATAATATTAAAATTCATTAAATCGCATCTAATATTTTTGAATTTAAATTTTATATTTATTAAAATATTTATATTATTAATTAAGAATTTTATATTTCTAAAAATTGTACAGTTGTAGAAAGTCTGTTTCGTCTGTATATAACTCTGTAAGATATAACACTACTAACAGACCAAGTTGGCTTTTTGTATTAAAATTTACAGTTATAATAGGTACTTAGAAAGTGATATATTTATATTTGTTTTCATAATATTACTTATAATGAAAAATACTTATTTGAATAAGTCGTGCTTTTAAAATATATATTTTTATTCTTTTGCATTAAATATTCTATTTTAGCATAAGAAATTATTTTAAAATCATTATTTAGCATTAGAATGCTAAAAATTTTGACAAAATATAGAAAAACGAGTGTGCTATTGTGATTTATAGCTTTTATATTATTTCTAATTGGATAGAGTAGTTTAGTTTATCTAAAGCTATTTATTATATTTAAAGTACACTTAGAAACAATAGCATTGAAAAATCATTTCGTGAAGAAATTATACATACAAAAATAACGCCGTTTTGCAGTTTGTTATTTATTGAAAAAATCCTTTATTCAGAATGTTACCATGTAAGTTAATAAATTTATACATTTAGCAGCTTGTATTTGAAGAACTTTTATATGTATCACCAAATAAATCATTCATAAATAATGATAACATATTGGCATTAACTGATCTTGTGAGGACAACTTCCTAAGTAGGTATGAATCTTCATCGGAAATATTTTTTAGAGAAAATAATAATAAATTTTTGTATCGTTAAATCCGTTTTGAAAAAAATTTTCAATTAAACTATTTGTGTTATCTAATAAAACACCTTATTCAGTATAAAATAAGCATATTTGATTCTTAGTGATAAGCTAAATATTTAGGGTTATGTTCGTGTTCTCTGTCGTCCTTATATTTTGAGTTTTGGATATTCCAGTGAGTTCTAGCATCCGAATTATTTTGATTATTTTATTTATAGGTAATGTACATTAATAAATTTTAATAAATATGATACCTGCATAACTTCATGAAAAACATTTACTGATCTCAAAGCAATTTGTTCGTCTTACAGTAATAAATCAATTAATTTACTATTGTAACCTGAATGCCAATTAATTCTGTAATCTTGGCTGTATTCAGAAAGCTTCTGGTTGTGAGCTTTCTGAATACAGGTCAGGTCTTTCTGATCATATAACTTAGTCAACATTTTTACTCCACGGTAATGGTAGAAATTAAATTTGAATTTAAGTGTAGCATTTAATTTCAATTCAAAAACGATTTTAAATTTAACTTCTGTATTTTAGTTCAAAAGTTCAAAAAATATATTATACAATAAATCATCATTTTAACTTAACAAATAGTCCAAGATATATTTGCTGGAAGTACTGTACAAAGAAAATAAAACATTTTCAAAATAAAATAACAAACTGATCCCGATGAATTTTTTTAAGTTAATTATCATACAGATTACTTGCAAACTTGTTCAGATATTTTTTATATTTTTTATATACTACTTATTACTGATATTAATTGTTGAACTTGTTTATGTTTTAGAGAATGACAAAACGAAAATAAAACATTGCGGATTATTGGCCCTATTATATTGATATAATTCTTTAACTTAGATTATGAGGGAAAACAAAATAATCTTTAATAAATTTATTATTAGAGTATTAAATTGCTAGTTTTATTAACGGCCATCAACATCCGTTGTGATACTAGACTTATTAAACACAGAATAGGGAATATTGCTCAATTAGGAAATCAACATTTATCTTTTGTATTATCTGGGGAATGCATTTCGGACCTTCTTGTCCCTCATCAGTCCCTGTATAAATTATATATTGTTAGTAATTGCACAGTACATCTTTTTAGACAAATGAATATACATAGACAAAAATTCCACTTACACTTTTTGATGATGGACTACCTTATCCATTTCTCAAAAATGGATAAAGGTAGTTATCATCAAAATGTATGATCTAAAGAATAATTGGCTACTCCAGTGAGTTCTAGCATCTCTAGTTGAAAATCTACAGTGTATAAATAATATTTAATTTTTTCATTTAGGATTACATTATTAAACTTTGAAGCATTACGTATTATTTCATCATCTGCTTTATCTCCACAAGGTTGAAGTCAAATTGTGGACAACTTTAAAACATATAGAAAGTGACTACATTCAGTCGACTGTTTTCCAAAATTCAACATTAAAATAGAAGCCATAGCATCCTATTGATAAATTCTGCAATATTTAGATCAATTGTGTAACTTCAGCTATAGTTTCATCTATTAATTGTGCCGATCTGAATGACGTACTACATAATAATATGAAGTTAAAGGATGCCGTATATGTGGCTGATAAATTGGGAATTGAGTATGATAGAGATTGTTTTGACTGGAATTTTTCGTTGTTTTAAACTAGTCACAAATTAACATACTTTTACAGAATAGAGTCCTTTTCATCGCTCTATATTTTGGCCTAAAGCTTGGGTATCTGATGCGGCAAAGACATTTTAGGGATTTCTTTTTTCATTTCGGATCAGATGACCCATACAATTTTCGTGAGCGGTTTCGTGTAAAATTGTCGGCTCTATCTGTCGTCACTTGTCCCTTCCTTTGTATGCTTGGCTAAACTTAACATGGATATGATTACAAAGGCCATTCCAGTGCTCTTGGAGTACTGGAAAGGCCTTCTTAATTACTCTGAGAAGAATGTTTGAAATTTTATGAATTAGTTTTAAGATAATAATTACAAATACTTTTTCGCCTACCAGAGTGGCCGAGTACATAAACTCGGCCACTGGTATACAGATAAAGCCACTGAACACCGGCGTTAGTGGTGGGTTTGCGCCTGTTCAACAAGATGGTCATGTGAAGTTTTCCGGGTCTTATTCACGCTAGTAACACTTAAATAGGCATCAGTTTTCCATAAAAATAATTTCCCGGAAGACATTTGTCTCGTTAGATCGTCCATTTTTTGCGTTGCCATAACCCAGTGATTCTCAACTTTTTTATCGTCACGGCAAACTTTTAATAATTTAAAAATTTGGCGGCACACACGGTTATTTGGTAAGTACTGCAAAAAAACAGGTGACGTCAACAGTGATTTTTAAACCCAGTTGGTTGTTTAGGTCACATTTTCTAAACTTAGTAACTACCGGCAGTTATCGGTAACACCGGTTACAATTTCCAAACGCACCTTAGGAAGGTAAAATCGATTAAACTACTTGTTTGGCGTCGCTTATGTATAGATATTCGCAGTGGTGGCACACTTCAAAAATCTTGCTGCACTTTAGTGTGCCGCAAGATTTTTGAACAGTGGTTGAGAATCACTGCCATAACCAAAAACCTAAAAACAAATATTTTTTCGTTAGTAGATAATATATTTTAATTGAGTAAAAATTCATACGGTAAGAAGATATTATACTTTTATAGATCATATTCGTTATGCTCAATTTTTAAATAAATAACTTTTATTAACATTTAAGTTTTGAACAAGAACTGAAGAATTGTCAGGAATAAAAAAGTTATTATTTAATTTATTTTAAATATAAGTTATCAAAAACTGACAATCGGCATCTTAAATTGTGGGAACTTTAACATTTTGTAAATTAATATATTATATAAATAAATTACTGCTCTTTGAATAAATATATTTTACGAACAATCATATTATTCATCATCATCACCATCATCACGAATAATTTCAAATAACGATGAAGAATTCTTCAAAATCAACATGTTCAACAAATCAACAAATCAATTATTTCTTGTGTTAAAAACTGACATCGTTTTTATAATTCCAACAAAAATATTAACTTAAATTATAAATTAGATATTAATAAGAATAAAGTATATATAAAGGTTAAAATATTATAATCTTCTGGATCAAAATATATAATTGTAATTCTCAGAATATATATATAATATTACATTATGTGTGTATACATATATAATATAATATACATGTGCATGTATTATATATTGATTACAGAAGATCAAATCTTCTGTATAAATATAAAATTATTATTATCTTGTTAATGAAAATTAACGGAAATATTTTTATAGAAATTGAAATATATTATATCAAATATATTCAGAAAACTTTTTGCATATGAGGAATGAGGAGAGAAAAGTTATTTTACTTTTTAGATTGATACATTAATTTATCATTTACATTTACTTCAGGTTTTAGAAAAACACTGTGTGAAAATATTATAATATGATAAACATTAATATATAAAATATATACTTTAGTTTTTTATAATTAAATGTTAACATAAAACAAAGCAATTGTTAATGCGTAAGATTTCAAAATAAAGAAATTTCAGAAATAAAAACCATGTACTTTATGTAGAAGAGTATATTAGGATTTACTTTTTTTTATTAGCTCTTCATAGTTACTTAAGATTATCTGAATAGCATTTGTATCATTTCAACATATAATAAATTATTTATTTCGTTATTGAATAACGAAGAATTACTAATGAAAAGAAATTTAAATATTTATAATAAAATTATGTTGATAGTCTGACAGAAATTTATATTATATAACGGAAAGACATATAAAATTATAAACAGAAGCCGTACAGTATAACATCTCTGTTTCCTATTTTAAATTACTAAATTGTACTTCAAACTCTGAAGTCCAAACTTCATTTGTAACTTATCGGTAATAGAAAAAGTTGTCTTGTATATCCAAAAGCCTGTCAAGTAAAGTAAAAATCTGTTTTTATCAAAGAATATTTATCATTGTATTATTAATATTTCGTTTGCATTAAGAAAAATGAAACTGACATTGTAAAATTTTAATTCCGTCTTATTAGTAATGTTCAGTTATATGTACTGTACAGTAAATTGAGATTGAAATGCTATCCTAGCTATTTATTTACGAGCTATTTATTTTTATAAGCTAAATATTTTTATATTTATTATCGTACGAGCTATTTATTTTTATAAG